TTCCTCTATTGAGAATTGTCTATTTAGTTCTGTACTCCACTTTTTAATTGGATTTTTTGGTGTTTTGGAGACTAGCTTCTTGAGTTCTTTGTATATTTTGGAGATCAGCCCTCTGTCAGATGTGGGGTTGGTGAATATCTTTTCCCAATCCGTGGGCTGTCATTTTGTCTTGCTGACTGTGTCCTTTGCCTTACAGAAGCTACTCAGTTTCAGGAGGTCCCATTTATCAATTGTTGACCTCAGTGTCTATGCTACTGGTGTAATGTTCAGGAAGCAGTCTCTGGTACGATTAATTCAAGGGTATTTCCCAATTTGTTTTCTAATAGGTTCAGTGTAGCTGGATTTATGTTGAGATCTTTGATCCATTTTGACTTAAGTTTTGTGCAAGGCGATAGGCTTGGGTCTAACTGAAGTCTTTTATATGTCTACAACCATCTCTTTTCTTGCTCTCCTTTATTATTCCCCGGACTCATCCTTCCTACTCCCTCATATCCTCCTCTCTCCTCCTCTTCTCCCCTTCTCTTCCTACTAACTCCCTCTCCCCTTCATCAACTTGACTTCTTACAATTTACTTTTTAGAACAGTTTTACAAAAAGCATTTGGAAGGTAGTGCATAGTCTAGTACTCCTCTGAACTTGGTTTCTTCCATTGCTATAAAATATTTTCTACAATGTATGAATAGAATATGTTAATTAAGGTCCATCATTTATTTTGATTTCTCTGCAGCTTATATGACACACTTTCATTTTTTCTTTTCCAGGATCCTGTTAAAGATACCTTTACACCCAGTCCCCTTGTGTCCTTAGGGTTCCCCGGATGTAACAGTTTCAAATACTTTTTTTCTTTTATGTTTTTGATAACCTTGACATATTTGAGGAATAATGGTCAGGTACAATAAATCAAACTGTATCTCTCTGATGGGATTTAGCTGATATTTCTCTCAGGATTCAGTTATGACTATAGGTCTTTAGACTGGGGCTCTGTTTTTTTTTTTAAAGGAAGACCAGATGAGAAGTGACATTTTTATCACATCACACTACACGCTGTATACCATGATTACACGCTATGTGACTGTGAATGCTGACTTGGTCACCTGGCTAAAGTTGTATTTTCTGGGTTCCTCCACTGCAAAGTTATCCTTTGTTTCCCCACTTTCTCTGTGTGCTTTAGAAGGGAATCTTTATCTATCTCCCCAGAATTTGTAGTGGGATGTGGCAGTAAGTCTCCTTGAGGATGAAGTGTCTTCATAAATACTTTGGGAATTTCTGTATGGGATGTTTGTCACTTCTCTCTTATGAATTTATTTACTTATTCAGCCTATCATTTATTTACATCATTCTATTCATGGATATTTTATTCTTTGTGGTTTAATTCGGGATGCTCAGTTCTAGTAGTCAGCTTGGCATAGCCTAAAATCACTTTGGAAGAAAGTTAAAGTGTGGAATTATCTATGTCAGGTTGCCTTTGTGTAGTCAATGGGGGGTTGTTTAAGTTAACTGATATTGGAAGACCTTGTTCACTGTGGGCAGCAACCTTCCCTATGTAGGGGGTCCTAAACTATGAGAGTGAAGAAATCTGTCTGTCTGTCTGTCTGTCTGTCTGTCTGTCTGTCTATCATCTCTCTACCTATATATCATCTATTCATTTATCATTTATCTGCATATCATCTATCTATCTATCTATCTATCTATCTATCTCTATATCTATCTATATATAGCACAAGCAAGGAAATACATTAATTTTCTCTCTTATCTTGACTGTGGATATGATGTGTCTGTCTTAGGTTCTTGCTTCTGTGAATTCCTTGTCATGATAGGCTGTGACCTGGAATTGTGAACTAATACAAATCCTTTTTCCCATATATTGATTTTATTAGGGTACTTTGTCATGGCAATAGAAATGAAATTAGGGTAACTCTCATGCTACTTTTCTTTCTCAATTGGTTCTCTTTGGCCATTTGGGGATTTTTTTTTTCCAGTTATATCCAGTGTACCCTTCGACATTACCTCCATGACTGTTTACCTCTGATACCATTCCCAGAATCAACCATTTGTTCAGGAAGCCCAGGGGTCCTGGTACTGGAAGATAGTATTAGAAATCAAGATGTGGACTCTGGCGGCCTGACCTTTCCGCGGCGGGTCCCGGCTGAGGTGACTCTGAAAGCCCCCCAGCGGCCCTGCCCGACGCGCAGCGCTACACCATGGTGGCGTACTGGCGGCAGGCCGGACTCAGCTATATCTGGTTCTCCCAGATCTGTGCGAAGGCAGTGAGGGATGCCCTGAAGACCGAGTTCAAGGCCAACGCTGAGAAGACTTCTGGGAGCAGCATAAAGATCGTGAAGGTGAAGAAGGAGTAGTCGACCCTGACTGAAGCATGAACTGCTGAGCCTTGAAGGTGAAGATGAAGATGTGGGTACCTATTATGTTCTGGCAGATTGAAATCAACCTCACCTCCTGGGCACAAGACCACATGTCTTGCTGATAATTTGACGATGTGAATAAATTGACATGCTTCACTCAAAAAAAAAAAAAGAAATCAAGATGTGGACATGAGATATACTCATTGATACTTGTATATCATTGCCTCAGATCCTTCTGATATGATGCCGCAAGAAAATTTTTGTACATATGAGCACATGTGTCTACACACCTGTATATTTACATGTAAAACACTATATTTTATTAAGCTAAGTAAATATACCCTCATACAACATAAATCATTCTGCTCTCCTCCCCTTGCTTTTTATAATTTTCCTCTCCAACAATGGAAAGCCAGACTCCCCATGTCCTTTCAGTCCAAGGATGAAGCATTATCAGAATTGTATTCACATGGAGAAACTGTATTAACCAGAGTATCACACACACGTATACACACACACACACACACACACACACACACACACACACACGGACTTTTAATTTACAGGCATCATTTATTTCCAAAGTTACTTAGAAAAACCATTCCCCTGACTCTCTTCAGTAATATTGTTCCATATTTTTTTTTCAAGTTTTTGATTCATTCATTCAATTTGAGGATTTCCTTTACTTCCTAAATTATTTGTAAATACTTGCCTTCATAAAGATTTTTCTCTTGGTGCTGCTAAATTTATTAAGTTTCAGCAAACATGTGGCATCTTGGGACAATTCTAGTTTCATTCTCCTAAACCTATTCCCTGCACTCACTTTATCCAGTCCAGTTATCACCTTTCTCCAAATTCCTAACAGTCACTAATATTGTAAATGATGCTATATAGCTATTCCTCATTTCAGAATGTCATATTCATATATCAAAATTATATAATTCCACATGCATGGCATTCTTTAAAATCAGTTTCTTACATTTATTAATATAAATTTTAGGTTCATCTCTACTGTTTTTCTTTTTATTGCTGAGTAGTATTCCATTGCTCAGTTTTATCACAGTTTACCTTGCATCTATCACAATTTGCCAGATATCTGAGTTGTGTTTAGCTCCTGGCAATTATGAATATCCCTGATATAAATATTTGCATGTGGACTTTTGACTGGCAATATGTTTTCAAGACAATTGATCATCCTAGGGTATGGTTGGTAATGTGCAAACTTCATAAAGCTCTGAAGCAGCATGAGCATTCAAGGTGGATTTATCCCCACAGCAAATAAGGTTTGCTGCTTTGCTTCGTCATTAGTAATTGGCCTTGCCAGTCTGCTGGACGTGATAATAGGTGTAATAGTACATTAATGTTGTTTTGATTTGCAGTGCTTTAATTATGCATGGTGATAAGTGTCTTTTCATGTGCTAATTTTGCCTCAGTTTTGTCTCATTTGGTGCAGTGTCTGTTTAGATTTTTGGCCCATTTTTTAACTGTGTTGTTTTCTTGGTGTTAAATCTTAAGAGTTTTTTTTTTTTTTGTAAATTTGGATACCTTCTTTTTATTCGACTTGTGTTCTGTTTGCAAGATATTTCACTCATATTTTCTCCTAGCCCATGGGTTGTTTTGCCATTGCCTTAATGGTGTATTTTTAAATAAAGAAAAAAATTTAATTTTAGTAAAGAGCAACTTATCATTTTCTCCTTGAAAAGTTTTGTTTTATGTTTATATTTATGGTTAATTTCACATTACTTTAGTCTATTTTTTAAAAAAAATATTTTAGGTATAAATGTCCAATTGTTCCAGTACCACTTGCTAAAATAACAATTCTTTCTCTACTGAAGTGTCTTTGTTCTTTCCACAGATTATCAGTTGACCTCCTCTCTTGACAAAATTAAAGATGGATATGTTTGTTCTTCAATACCATGCAGTCTTTGTCATCGTGACATTGTAGGGGCCCCGAAATAAAGTAATTTTGATGATTTGACACATGTCTCTTCCTCAGTGTTGTATGGAGTAGTCTAGCTCTCTGTTTTTCCATTTAGAATTAGTTGTTGATGTACTAAAATAGCACCAAATGCTAGTACTTATGATTAGTTTGTGTTCGTTCATGCGGCTGTGAAGAAGTGATTTCTTAGTGATATTGGCCTCACATCCACAGTTATGTCTCTTCACTTATATTTCTTTTATGACAGTTTTGTTGTTTTTTTCTGACATCTTGTGAACATTTTAGTAGATACATTTCATCCTGAGGTGTAATTTTAAATAGTATTGGCTGTCACACTTAGGCTTTGTCAACTTGACACAAATTTAGGCATACCAGGAAGAAAAGGAATCTCAACTAAGAAATTACCTTCATCAGATTATCTGTGTACATAATTGTGGGACATTTTCTTGTTTATTGATATGAAGAAGCCCAGTCCTCCGTGGGCAGTGCCACCCCTGGGAGGGTGGGCTTGAACTGTATAAGAGAGCTAGATAAACAAGCCAATCCAAGCAAGCCGGTAAGCAGCATTCCTCTGTTGTCTGTGCATCAGATCTTGCCTCCTGATTCTTGCTTGAGTTTCTGCCTCGACTCAATGATGGAGTGTAATGCAGAAGAGTAAGCCAAATAAATGTTTTCCTCCTCCAGGTTGTATTGGGTTACAGTGTTTATGACAGCAAATGGAACAAACCAGGACAGAAATTGGTACTGGAGTAGGTGTTACTGTAATAGACCTGACAAAGGAGGATTAGAGAAGTGTTTGGAACTTTGAGATGGCAAAATAAATTGGGTGTTCAGAGCTTAATGGGATGTCTTGTGGGAGCTCAGTGGATTAATGCTGAGACAAATGCAGATGATGGAGGTCTGGCTTGTGAAATTTTGGACAGAAGTGAAAGCTATCAGGGCTATTCATGTGATCTTTTGACTTAAGAGTCTATGGAAGTGAAACCTTCAGTGGGCAAGAGATGCTCCTCACTGGGGATTGAAGAATCATTTATGATCAATAAGAGATCAATACTGAAGCACAATCTTCTGAGAAGTATTTTGCAAGAGTTAGCCCACAGAAGCCTGTGGTGTAAAGCATCACATGATAGTGTTGGAGTTCCCACAGTAAGGCCATACGTCCATTGGAAAATATCTAGCCTCAGTTATGAAGACCTCAGCATATGCCAGGACTGTGATGTGATTACTAAGGACATCAACAGGTGTGGAATGGCACTGGCTTGTGCTTCTAAAATAAGCAGTGTATGCTGTAGAAGGCAGAGTTGGAGAGGTGGGGCTACCCAAGCTCTTTGGAGCCCAGTAGATGAGTGAGTTCCACATATTGGAAACTGAGCTATTGCACTATTGGAGTTTGGTTTTGCTATGGTTTTACTGTAACTATACCTTGGTTATGCATTTTAAAATGTAATTTGTTTTTTATTTTATAGGATCCCACAGTTACGAGACTTTGGAGTTAAAAATTGTTTTATGTAGATACTTATGTATCTTCCATATATATATATATAGATATATATATGTGTGTGTGTGTGTGTGTGTGTGTGTGTGTGTATGTGTGTGTGTGTGTGTGTGTGTGTGTGTGTGTGCAACACATGCATGCCTGGTGCCCATGGAAGCCAGCATAGGGAGGTGGGTCCCATGAGACTGGAGTTACAGAGGGCTACAAGTCACTATGTGGGTCAAACTCAGGGCCTCTGGAAGAGCAGCCAGTACTCTTAACCATCTAGACATCTCTTAAAAGTTTGAATTTTAAAGAGAACTTGAAGTTGTATATTGCTAGATGTTTTTTAAAGACATGGGGGCTTTTAAAAGTAGGACTGTGGTTTTTATCGTGATATTAATATGAGCTCCCAGGGAACAAGAAATGAAAAGCATATGACTTTAAAAAAATGTGTTGGTTTGTTGAAGTTGAGAAAGGGTGGGATGTCATAGATTTTTATCACCTTGGCACAAAAGTAGACATTTCTGAGAAGAGGAAATCTCGACTAAAGGGTCTGTCTGGAGGGCATTTTCTTGAGTGATGATTGATGTTTGAGGTCCCACCTAACTGTGGGCAATGCCATCTCTGGGGGAAGTCGTGCTAGGCTGTATAAGAAAGGTAGCTGAGCAAGCCAGGAGAAAGGGTCCAGTACACAGCATCCCTCCATGGTCTCTGCTTCAGTTCCTGCTTCCAGGCTTCTGTGTGAGTTCTTTCCCTGACTTCCCACAGTAATGGGCTGTGATGTGGAAGAGTAAGCCAGATAACCTCTTACCCCCTGAGGTGCTTCAAGTCTTGGTGTTTATCACAGCAATGGAAAGCAAACAAAGACATTTTTTTAAATCCAAATTTCAATTGTTCATCATAGGCCTATAGAAAATTAACATTTGTATGTTGCTATAATCATTTATTGGCCTAAAGAGATTTTGTGGTAGATTAGTTGGGAAAACTGGAAGAACAGTGGGAGTGGAGCCGAGACCTACCCAGAGAAGTAGGTCTTAGATAGAGTGTATACTCAAGATATTTTGAAATGGGGGAGGGGCTTTTCCCTGCCCCTTACAGTGGTGAGATTTTTCTTGGGCCTTAGTATAAAAATGTATAATAAGGTTTATGGAGGCAAAGCACTCAAATAGGTAAGGCTCCCCCACGTACCAGAGGCCCCAGGGCTTCCCCACTCTCAAGCTAGACCACACTCAACTACAGCAATATGCCAAGCATTCTCTTTAAAAATTCCTGTTAATTTATGACTCCAGTGGTTTCTCCTTTTGGTAACTCAGTCTCTGATTCTTTGGATTCAAGTTTGTTCAGGTTTGCAATCGGCTGTGTACCTTACAACTTCAGCTCTCAAAAAATGTCCTTAAATAGTCATTGATTTTAATATTATTCAACTTTTGCATCACTGTAAGATTATGAGTACAGATTTTCAATATTTTTGTATGTTGAGCCAGACCCTCTCATTTAAACTTGTCTGTATTTGGATTTGCAGTTGTACCAGCACCATTTGCTAATTTATTTCCTCTATTGGCACTCTTGTGAAAACACTGATCCATTAATATGAAGGATTCTCAATCCTAGTCCATTGATCTGTCCTATTCTATGGTAAGTGTATAG